GTTGCTATGATGCGCACTGACCACCAGGGGGCAGATGCTAATGCAGGAGCTGCCCCCTAATGGTCAGTGCGCTCCCACAGGGGGAGGGCCGCTCAGCCAGAAGCTGGGCTCACGGCTGGCAAGCACAGCGGTGGTGGCAGGAGCCTCTCCTGCCTCCGTGACAGCACTAAGGGTGTCCGACTGACATCCCTGTGGGGAGTGGGCCTAAGCCATTAGTCAGACATCCCCCGAGGGCTCCCAGACTGCAAGAGGGCATAGGCTGGGCTGAGGGACTGCCCCCGAGTGCACGAATTTCATGCACCAGGCCTCTAGTCTATATAATAAAAGCATAATATGCTAATTAGACTGGACATCCTTCCAGACGTCCTTCCTTCCAGACAAAACTGCAGCGGGCAGGGGCCATGGCAGAGGTCCCCGGCCACAGTGGCAGCGGATGGGGGATGGGGCCAAGGCCCTTGCACGAATTTTGTGCATCGGGCCTCTAGTCTATATATATAAAAGGCTAATATGCAAAGTGTCTCCTTGGGAGTTTGACCAGGAGTTCAATCACTCCCTATGACGTGCTGACCACAAGAGGGCAGTACGGAACGTGGGCAACCAGCAGCGGCAGTGGGGCGCTGAGGGAGCGAGGGAAGGAAGAGGGGAACCCTGCAGTGGTGCATGCATGGGTGGCAAGGGAAGGAAGGGACAGGGAGGCGGGGAATTTGATCAGCCCTGATCGCCAGCCAGGCCCAGGGACCCTATTCGTGTATGAATTTCGTGCACTGGGCCTCTAGTTTGTATATAGTCAGCAATTAAGAGCAGAAACGGTCTCGAGAATTTCTCCTCTGAAATTTACATTCAATTCTGAACGGGACCGATTTTAATAAAATGAGTAGCACATGCACACATCCCCACTTAGCAGAGCCACACACTCTTGGTTGAACTGCAGCCAGCTCAGGCTGAGAGGACTTCCCAGGGGTGCTGCGGAGCACCATCACAGGCAAGGGTTTCTTAGCTTTCAGAGTTTTGAGCTGAAGTGGGAATTTTCTGAACATTTAAGGTGTGAAGAGCAGGAGTAAAATGGGAAGGAACACAGGGTAATTCATAAATCTCAACCACTAAAACAGCTGCTTTGCGCTTAAGGAAGCCTCCCTTTCTTTAGCCCGAAGGGCATCATTTAGGGAAACTGAGCGGCTTCTCAAGAGCTTGCTAACGTCCGTCCAATCCTTCCCCCCCCCAAGCGGGCAGATAAGGACGTGCAAAGGCTCCAAAGGCTGGACAAAACTGGCTCTACGTGCCCCCTGATTGCAAACCTCTTCAAACCACTGCTTAGCAAGCGTGACTTTCACATGGACAGTAAGTTTTGTTTTTCCTGCATTAATCAACACAAGGCGCTGACTCCTTCACAGAGAACTCCCTCAGGTACAACTCATCCCAGTTTCGCTGAAGCCTCCAGAGGAGGCGGTGTCTCCACCCTGAGCTCCGTGAATCCCGCTTGTCCTTGACAAGCCCACAGACAGGTGGTTCTGAGACACACAGAGGGCCTGGGGCAGCTGCGGGTGGCAGAGGATGCAGAGGGCCCGAGAGGGGTCACTCGTTCCCTCACTGCTGTCCGCCTGGCCCGTAACTGACACAGACACTCCTGTGCCCATTCACTTTCTGCCTTTCAGGACTAGGGGCCACAGTGTGCTTTGTTTTTCTTCGCAGTGGTGTTGGCAATGACCAGGTACCCAGAGGTATCAAAGGAAACAAGAAAAGAGCCATCCTAATTTACATGATTTGATTAATACAGCACTTAAGGGAAAAAATGAGCACAGTGAATTATCCAGTCAAAAGGATACAGCTTTATATTGTTACAAAAAGTAAAAACCTCACCTTGTTTCCAGTACAGAGACAGATCATTGTAACACAGGATCACAGAGTTGCACACCCAGCTGGCAAACACTTTGGGTCTGGAATTTCTTCCCCAACCACATTACATCAGCTTAACACATCTGTAAAACATCTTCCCTGGAGTCAGACCCTAAAGATCAGGCCCGGGAGGCACCCTCCACCCGGCCAGCATCTAGCTCATCCCCCTCTGAAGACACTGGTAAGAGCAACACAGCCCACAGCGATGGTGCTGCCTCAGCAGGCAAGGGAGGGGGACCAGCAGCCTAAGTGCCAAGAAACCAGCCAGGAGAAGGGGGGGAGAGCCAAAAGATAAAATGGAGAAAAGTCTGACTTCAGGAGTAACCATTTCAATTATAATCAACTTTAGTCTGGCATCGCTGAGACACCGAGAGCCGCGGACCCTGGGAAAGTTCACTTCTTGAGTGCAGTTTGAGGTGGTTTGATCTTTTCTCAGTGGTTCTTGATTCATTCTGTTTGGGAAACAGCAATGACTTCTTTCATCAGCCATGGCTTTCCTAACACAGTACAGGGTGGTGTGGCCAGGAAGACGGGCACGCAGGCCCAGCTGCAAAAGGATGGCTCTGAAGTCGGGCCAGCAGAGGGGGTCGCTGTGCAAGTGAGGGAGGCACCATCAGTTCCTCGCTGGGAGCAAGGCCTTGAGGCTGCGGAGGGCCAAAAGACCTGGCGGAGCCCCATCTCTCTCAGACAGGTAGGTACTGGAGAATGCCAGCCCAGCAGCGGGAGCGCCAGGCGCTGGCCCTCAGCTGGCTCACAGCTGGCTCACACACGCATGCACAGGGCAGGGAACCAAGTAACCAGCCCCTGGAAAGTGGTTTCATTGTTTTTTTAAAAAAATTATTTCCTCCTTTTGATCCGGTCTTCACCTCAGAACCGTTCCTCAGCACAGTCCTGTTTCCTACGGTTCTGAGAGGGTGGTTGCATCACAGAGGACCAATGGCTGGACCCCTCGGGCTACAATGTAGACCTTCCAGTGGACGGCACCAGCGTAGCCTGCAGGGTAACAGCAACAGAAGCTTGTGAACGTCAGGGCCTGGGCACACCTGCAAAGCAGGCGAACTTCGCTCTGAAGGTCTTTCAGGCCTTCCTGGCCTAAATATGCCCAGTCTTCCTGTAACCTGACACCCACCAGGAGCCACTCAGGAACCAGCTCCATTGCTGCCCTCACCTGGGGACTGAACGCCAATCCCACAGGTTCACATCGGCAGGTGCTCTGATGAGCTGGTGCTGGGCATAAATTCTGCAAAATGACCTCATCGTTTTCAGCAAGAAGACATGATGGGCTGAGGGGGAGGGGTCCCCTGCTCGATTTTCCTGAGATATCTACAACAGGGCCTCATTACCCAACATGCAGATTGACCCAACCCAGCATTTCCTAAATTGTGTCCTGTAAGAGGTCCAAGGAAAATGGGTTCTGTGGCCAAGGAAGTTTGAGAAACACTAGATTCCTCCAGGGTTTTTCGGAGCCTTTTATACATAATGTGCACTATGTATTGACAAGACCGGCGTCTCCCGAAGTCTACTGACCAAAGGACCCATTTTCCAAGGGCCTTCCCGCAGGGCGTCTGCTCCTGCCAGTCCTGAGTGACCTGAAGAACTCCTTAGGAAACATTGACCAGAATCATTTGAGTGGGCGGAAAGGTGACTCAAACCCCGACCACGCCAGCACTCTCTGGATGGACATTTTGTAGCGTCTGATGTGCCCTAGTCCTCTGTGAACGAAGGGCCCCGAGCAGACCCGAGCCTCCGCCTGGGGAGTCAGGAAAGCTCACAGTGAGCAGTGACTGGACAGTCCGGCGGGTGCAGGCTCACAGCGCCTGACCCCTACGTCAGCCTTGGAAACGCCACTCTCTCAGGTTTCTGTACCCTTGTCCCCTCCACTCAACCTTCACAGGACAATGCTTATCATGTCAAAAAGCACAGAAGCTGCTTGTCACGCTGCCATTCCTAAGGGTCCCTGAGCTGCTCAAGATGCCACCTGTCCTCAACCCGCCATGGTGGGGCCTGCTCTTGGGTCCTCACTTGTAACTGAGGCGGCTGCAGCCAGGTGTCTGTAGCTGCCACTGCTCAGGTGCCCATTGTCCTCCCTGCCTTCTCCCAGGCACGTCCTCTTCTCTTGTTCTCATCTGTCTTCTGTCCCTTCTCCACATCTGTTACATGGCTGGCCTTTCGTGGGCACTGCCAACCTCAGGGCTCCTTTCCTCCTGGTCTGTGGCCGCCAATCACAGCTCGGCAGGCATTGGCTCTGGATTTCAGCTAGTCTGGACTATGCCCACTGGACCTGCTGCTCAAAGCTTCTCTGATCTCTGTCAGGCACCCCTTCTTTCTTCTCCCCTCACTCTATAGCTGGCATTCTAGATGCCTGTGAGAGCCAGAGGCCTGGGATTTGGATAACTAAGGTGTTTCTGCAGTTGTCTGTACTGTCAGGATTTGTAGAGTGTAAGAAAGACTTTGAATGCACAACTACACACTCCCAGGGCCATGCCGTGCAGGCTTGTGCAGCTGTCACTCCACCACAGGAAAATAGGTCCAGAACACTTTCCACACAAGAATCTTCCTTTTTGCAGAAATTCCCAGGGGCCAGACCAGCTGTGCTCCATCATCAGTCAATGGTTAATTTGTGCATTTTTATTTTTCCATTTCTAAACTGAAATCAAAGTTATGTAACTTGGATTAAAACTTGGCACACTTCACAGTGTGCAACCTTCCTCCAAAAGAGGTGAGGTTTCTGGGCCCAGGTTTTTTGAAAAGGTAAATTAATCAACTGAGAGTCCAGTCTGGGCTCTGCCAGGGACTCCAGGCCTCCCCTAGGTTTTGCGAGGCAGGAAAGACAGGAGAGCAATGGGATACTTGCTCATTTACTTGCTTCTGCCAAGAAAACTCTACAGTCACACTGATTGCTACTGACAGCAGTTGATTTAAACCTGTTTCCCTGGAACCAACTTCTAGAATATAATGCACAGAACAAGTCACAGTTGGGAAATCATGGAGCCAAGGGTGAGTCATGGCTGTGAGGCTGTGACCTGCCTGTGGGACCCACCCGGGAGGTGAGACTGCCTGTGCGGCTGCTGCCCTTACATGCTGCTTGCATTGCATTGTTATATTAGCAAAATGGCACCGAAAGGGGTTTCCTCGAATCTGGAATTGAACCTCCCCTGACCTGACTGCTAAACGAGACACTGAGACTCGAGGCTTTCGTTGCTTAACTGACAGAGGAGCCCTGGCGCGTCACCTCCCCTCTCTGGACCTCTCTCCTCAGCTGGAAAATAAAGGCCTGCTCTCCATATCGGCATAACCCTTCCTAACATGGACACATACATTCTACATGAATATACAAGACCTTTCCTTCTGCCACATTTTCTCATTATTGTTCCGTTTAAGCATAAATATTGACCCTGTCAGTAAAAAATGTTCTTCTTCACTCTACTTAATTGATCTTTGGGAAGGCCATATTTAACTCTTATACTCTTTTTTGAGTTAAAGACTAAAAAGATCCTGGGGCCGACCTTGCCCTCCTGGGCCCCACCTACCGATATCGCCGGGCTCCAGCGGCATGGCCATGGAGTGGCAGTGTCTCCGGCACTGGAAGGGCGGGATGAGCTGCAGCATGGCCTCTCCGCTGCCAAGGGTGAACAGGTCATGCATCCTATGCATCTGGAGGAAACACAGGGCAGAAAAGGAAGGAAAAGAAAACAAAGTAAAACCGGGGGGTGTGGGAGACTGACACACAAACATCCAAACACACTCTGAGTTCCCTAGCAGCCCAGGCTAAAAGGAAAACAGACCCAGTAACACAATTCACAATTATGTCCAAAAGACGAAAACAAACTAGTTTCTCCAAAGCATGGCATCTCTCAGTATTGAGACCAGGTTACCCTGGCCACACAATAGCTTCTACAAGAGACACTGTAATTAAGTGGGGCCCCAACAATCGCCCTATTGTAGAAATGGCACAAGCTTCATAATTTACAACTATTTCTAGTCACAGCTTCAAAGTAGGTCAAAGGCAAAACATCTAACTGCAATTTTACGCAAGTCTAGCAAAGGCCAATACAATTGGTCTAAGAATGAAGTCTTCTGAGGGACTAGTTTGATCCAGACTTTTAAACTAATAGATATCTACATATCCTTTGGGCAATGCTCCATGAATATTCCTTCTTACTGCCAGGGTTTTGATGAGAATCAAAGAGTGGCAAGTTCAAGTTTACACTTTCTGGCAAGACCCAGGTGAGCAGATATGTCATGCTACTGATTGAAAGCTAATGACAGTAAGATTGGCCTCTGATTTTGAAAACCATGGAGGCCACCAGGTTATGCACCTGCAGCGGCAATGGCTACACTTCTGAGGGAGCACTACTGCCACCCACAGGCATGGCATGCACCCTGCTGGGTGCCAGGCACAGTTGCAAACCCTGGGCCAGGAAGTAGGACAAAGGGAGAGGCTGATCTCGCTCACCTAGGTGAGAGAGAACCCCTAGCCTCCCCTCCCAGTCCTGCCCGTCTGAGAAAGCCTCCAGATGCCCACAGAAAGCAGGGATCCGAAGTCTGACTTTCCTCTTCACCACTCAGGGCCTCCAGAGTCTTAGATTTTGGCCCATCTTCTCTTGTCCCCAACCCTGGTCTCCCTGTTGCTCCCACAGGCCCTGTCATGAATCAGTCATGGCCACACAAGAGCCATTCCAAATGTTGCTGCGGTGAAAGGAGGACTAGGGAGGTCTGGTGGCTTGAGCTGCCTGCAGCTGACTGGTCCCAGCAGAAGCGCTGACACCTGCAGTCTTGAAAAACCCCTGAAGACCAACACCAGGTGGATATACTAGTATTTCTTTTCATATACGCCTGAGGGGGCGGGACCATGATCCTCCACACCCAGGATGGGAAGCAGCAGACACCAGGGTGGAGCAGGCCCGCTGTGGGCAACTATGTGTAAGGGGTGCAGGGACCTGGATCTCCTCACCGCTTCCCCCAGTGCCTCTTAACAATCAAGTCTCCACTTGTGTATCCCAAGGCTCCTGCAGACATGGGGTTTCCAGGCCCAGGGACATGGACAACAGGGTGGAGTCGCAAGGCCGTCTCGAGCCTGGGCCAGGGTGGGGAACAGATGCTCCAAGAAACCAGACTCAGGATTTTTGCCTATTTGGGCCACTCCCCTTCCCAAAACATCCTTGAGAACCATAACAAGATGCCTCTGATAGGCGGCTGAGTAACTCTGTATTTACCACTTTGGCTGGGCTCCTTGGGTTGCTGTTAAGCAGGCTGATGACATTAACTTTAGATTCAAGTGGGACAAGTAAGATAAAGATAAAGGCCCTCGCCCCAGGATGATATTCTAATTGTGAAGATGAAATCATATGAGGGCCCGGAGTCCAGCCAGCGACAGGATAAACGTCTTTAAAATCAAGGAAGAGCCCAGCACCTCCGCCCTGCTGCTGGCAGACAGAAGAGCTCACTTCTAGACACAGTGATTGTTTTTCTAGGCTTTGAAATTCCTTTAACACGATTCAGCAAACTGGGAGCCAATAGTATCAGGAGGTTGAAGACACAACCCAGAGTTGGTGGGGTCATGGTTTGGGAAATTTAATCTTTTTACAGAGTAAAAAATCAAGATTTTAATTCTTTCAAACCAATCCAGGCTCAAAAACCTTCCTCAGGAATGAGACTCAACCAGAGACAAGTAAGCCACCATAGACACAGCACAGCTCTGCCGAGGCCAGTGGAGGGGGAAGTGAGGGGCCGGGTTGGCCCTGGGCTGAGGTGAGAGGCACGGCCTCTACGCTGGGCTGCCTGCCTCGGGCACATGCCCGTCCACCATTTAGTCCCCAAACCTCTCCATGCTCCCAAGCTTTCTGCTTCTCCAGTTCTCTAGCTGAGGTTCCTCCTGTATTTCTGGGAAAAGCCAACCTGAGAGTGCGGGGGTGGGGGAGGGGGGGTTCCTCCTATTAACTTGCTGTGTCCTTGGGCAGATCATTTACTCTCGCTGGGGCTCAATATCCTTATCTACAAAATGAGTGACGTGGACTATGGAATTACATACTGTTCTCTTATAGCTGCTGCTTTCTACTTTGAGGTAGAGAAGTCAGACTAACTTAGGGTTCTACCTACTTGAGTGCAGAAGTGTGGCTTGTGGGAGGTAGACTTGTAGGAAGCAGACTCTCCATAGCATGTCTTCCTAAAGGAGCAGGCTGCCCGGTGTCCTGGCTACCGGGAGGGTGTCCCTGAAATTCGCCCCCTAAGTTGATGTGCAGGGAAGGCCTTGATTATGTTATCGGCCCAGGTCCCAAAAGAGGAAAGTTCTGGATCTAAGTGCTCTCAAAATTTCCTACCTTACTCCCCACAATAGGTTCTGGTTGAAGAAAGAAGCACTTTTTCAAGGAGGCATCTTTTGGAAATGGGAGGTGGGTGAAAACAGGAAAGAGCTCACGTAAAATGTGTGATCTGTTCAGAGGTCTTCTCCTATAAAAGTTTGGAAGAGAAAAAAGTTATTAAACTGGGCAAGCCAGCCTCCGACTAACATAGAGCTGAGCAGGGTGGGGAAACTGTGGGTGGTGGGTAAAGAGGAAAAATATCAGGACAATATCTTAAGTATTAGGTCCATGAAGTACAGTCATGCCAAATCAATTAACTGTAACATGTACACGCACACACATAAACTCCACAGCCATGATTTGTCCATGTGGGTGGGTGTTTATAAAATCCAGCTAAAACAACATATAGAGGAAGGAAAGAAACAATCCATTCATTCTATCTTGGAAAAGAGACTGAAGTACTAACAAGCCAAGTGGGAGAAGAGACCAAGGGAGGAGGAAGCAGCAGACATCGTGAGCCTTCTCCGGAGGCAGAGCGCCATGCACTGGGAAGCCTGACTAGGTTGTTAAACTGAGTCACTGATCACGAAAGAAACAGAGAATTTAAAGAAAAGCAGAAGCACCGAGAAATTATCCAACAAAAAGCCTGAAACAGTTCTCCTTCCCTGTGAAAGGGTTCTAGATCCGCGGTTGCCAACCTTCCGGACCTCAGGGACCACCGTGGTCCTCGGACCACCGGTTGGCAACTGCTCTTCTAGATGGAAACTGGCTTTCCGTTTCTTTCTAGACAGCACCCCAAGAAATGGACCGAGGGTTCTGTAGGACACAGGGAGGAACAGGGATGCAGATCTAAGTTTCAGTCCCGACTGGGTGACCTTAAGCAAGGTAATTACCTCTCTGATCACCACTTTTCTGATCTGAAAGGTGACAATGACAATTCCTACTTCCCAGAGCTATTCTGAGCATCACCGCTGAGTAACAGACACTACGCACCAAGGCACACTGCCTGGCACAGAGCGTGATGGGGAATGCAGCCTCCCTTCCATTCTTCATGCTCTCTTCAGCCCTCAATGCCCAGGACCACGCTGCAGAAACACAATGCTAAACACATACCTAGAGGTAAACTATGAATCTATTAGGCAACCCTGGTGTCCACCCATGCTGTCACTCCTCCATACACATCTCTTCACTCGTCCCTTTCTCTCTCATCACTGGTTTGTCCACTGTGAGCTCCTGCGTGTTCTCTGACTTGCACGGTACTGCAAGATATTTGCACAGTGTTGACACTCGGTCTGCCCCTTTCCACATACACACAGGCCAAGCGCCCTTTGGACACTCACCACGGATAAGGAAATGGGAACCACCGGTGAGGAAAGCAGCGCCACCACTTGGCGAAAATCCCTTCCTCGAAGCCTTCTGTCACCTCAGGGTACTGGCACAAAAAATGCTGAATGTCCTTCGACAACAGGGGCCGTTCCGTCTTGGCAAGGCCAAAACCAAAAGCAAAGCAGAACAACAGAATTACTTCCCAGGAATGTCATAGAGCTTGGTGGTTTCTGGCCATTAAAAGGGTAGTCAGTGGGAGTATCAGCCTCTAGCTCACCTTGATCACCAGAGGATGGAGTCTCTCAAATTCCTTTGGGGCATCTTCCAGGAGCATTACCTTGAGGGGTAATTTCTGGGCACAACCAGTGCAGTTGGCAGGGATGGGGTCTGACTCATTCTGCTCACGGTCGTTTGTCCACCAGGGGTCAAAATCTGAGTGAGGATGAGACGTAGGAGGCAGATACAGGAAGAACACAGCAGGTAAATCCAACAGGCCAGCAATGAAGTAGGAAGGAAAGATATACTAAGAATTTTTAAAGCTGACAATGGCAACCTCTGAAAAGGAGCAGAGTGCTGGGGGTCGGGGCAGGGGTTGTGGAGACAGCGCGGGAAGGAGGGGTACTTTTCCCTGCAGGCTCTTCTACACTGTATGGGAAATATTTCTTTAACCTGTACACACATCTCCTAAGCCAAACCAACAAATGAAGCCAAACAGGAAGCCATTCAGTGGCATGGGGTGCAGATGTAGTTCCTCCACCCTTTTTTTTTTAAATATGTTATTTATTTCAGAGAGAAAGGGAGAGAGAGAAAGATCAATGAAGAATCAATGGGCTGCCTTCTGCATGCCCCACACTGGGGTCACGCCTGCAACCCAGGCATGTGCCCTGACAGGGAATCAAACCCAGGACCCTTCAGTCTGCAGGCCAATGCTCTACCCACTGAGCACCACCGGCCAGGGCTCCCCCACCATTTTCTAACCTGGGGCCCACACGTGTGAACCGTCTACAGCACACGGGGGAGGGACGGGCAGAGAGGGGTCCCACCATCAGTGCTGAGTCCCGCTGCCTGTCTTCTCCAGCACTCTGGGTGTGTGCCTAGACCAGTGATGGCGAACCTTTGGAGCTCGGCATGTCAGCATTTTGAAAAACCCTAACTTAACTCACTTAACTCTGGTGCCGTGTCACATAGAGAAATTTTTTGATCTTTGCAACCATAGTAAAACAAAGACTTATATTTTTGATATTTATTTTATATATTTAAATGCCATTTAACAAAGAAAAATCAACCAAAAAAATGAGTTCAGAGGTGACATGCGTGTCATAGGTTCGCCATCACTGGCCTAGACCCTTGGTTTGCAAGCCCAAATGGAGGCCAGGCTGGCTCCAGGAAGGAGGAGTGAGAGGAGGGTGCAGAGAGGAGGGATGGAGGGGAGACAGGACATTCCTGGGCCCATCTCTGGAGTAGAGTGAATTGACTAGCCCAGCTCAGGGGGTACTATCCACGGTTTCTCCCCAGGACAGCAGGTGGGTCAAGGGAAGAGTGCTCTCCCGGGCCCTGATGTGCGGGCTGGGTGGCCCCTGCCTGAGGGGTTGGCTCTGCTGCTACACAGTGCTTCTCCATTTCCCCCTGTTCCTGCCCTCCGGCACGCCTCTGTTTACAACCTTACTGCACTATTTCTTGTTTGCTTTTTGTTCCATTCTGGGTTTTACACGTGTTCTCTGAGATATGTGTTTGTGATAAACTCTAATTTGAATCCAAAATGTTTCACCAGATGGTTTCTGATTAAAACCCAATGGAAACCAACTCAGGAGAGAGCCTAGAACAAAGACAGCAGACAAGCCAAGGTGGCTGAACTGTGCCGTCAGTTCTTCACACCGACAGACACGCTGGGAGACTGACTCCTGGCCACACAGTATGTTGTCGCCGCAGCAGCGCTTTGTCCTTGTTTCCTGACAGCGGCAGTGTCAGCATGGAGGACGCCCTGTCAGGGGAAGCCTGCCTGTGTTCTCAGCGAGTCTCCCAGGCACCCTCCACCTCCGGCAGATAGAACCTGCGTTTTCCTTGAGGCAGCTGCCACCTCCCCTTCTCACCCCTCTCACCTGTGAGAGATAACAACCAGAGGACTGCTGCCCCTTACCCGAGGGGCCTCTGTCCTGCACTGCTCGCCGGGAGCTGCGGGGCAGCTGAAACCCTTTGGTGGCACCGGAGGCTGCAAAGTTACAGGTGTGGGGTTTTTTTGTTTTTCCTTTGGGAATGCTTTTAAATATTCCTTATCAGAGGCCAAATATGATGGATTCTTTTATTTTAAACAATTTTACTTTATTATTATTTTTATATTTTTTTGTTGATTTCAGAAAGGGAGAGACAGCTAGAAACATCAATGATGAGAATCACTGATTGGCTGCCTCCTGCACGCCCCCTACTGGGGATTGCGCCTGCAACCTGGGCGTGTGCCCTTGACCGGAATCGAACCCGGGACCCTTCAGTCCACAGGCCGACGCTCTATCTGCTGAGCCAAACCAGCCAGGGCAATATGATGGGTTCTTGCCACCATACAAGAACTCTGGGTAATGGACACACATGAGGCACACATAATCATGACAACATGTCTTAATTATATAGCATTTCAGTTTTCCAGAGCACTTGTGAGGAAGGGAGGGGAAAGGGAACTAATGTGCAAAGTGCCAGGCCCTATGCTAGTCATTTTCACACGCTGTGGGTTTACTTTTTATCATATGATTATTGAGGAGTTGAGCACACTGACAGTGAGGCAGAGAGTGTGGCAGAGGATGCGGGTGGCTGGGGGGGATAAGAGGACAGTGGCTCCGAGGAGGCTGTAATGAGGGTCCAGGGTTTGGAGAGCTTGAAGCACTTGTGGCTGTACTGAAAGCAAAACAAGGACCCATCACAGGCCTGTGAGGAGGGGCTTCCTGATGTCCAGGAGGCTATTCTGGTTGTGAGTGGGCTGGGTCCTAGAGATGGGGCTGGGAAGAGGAAGACGGGGCTGTACTCCGGCTTTGTCCCTTTAGGTGGGGGGTTGTATTGTGGTGAGAGGTGAAATATAATGAGTGTAAACGGAGGCAGTAGGCTGGGGAGGAGAAGGGGACTGCCGGTCAGGGATGACCCATCTGTAGATCTAAGCAGCAATACAGCATGTCTGTGCAGCTGGCTCTGCCCAAGAGCTCTGCCCTGAGGGAGCAGCGGCACCGAAGGCAGAGACCTGAAGGTTTCTCATCACATTTGGGGCATGAGGAGGCAGGACTGGAGGGAAAGGGCACTGTTTTGCTTTCTCTGTGGAGATACCATATTAAAACAACAGCTTTACTGAGATTAATTCACATACCATAAAATTCACTCCCAGTGTACAATTCAGTGGTGTTTAGTATAGTCATAGAGTGTGCACCAGCACCATCATCCAACCAACACCCTAAAAAGAAACGCTGCTGCTATTAGTAGTCCCTTCCCACTCCAACTTCTCCCGCCAGCCCTGAGCACCGATTTGCCTGTTCTGGTATTTCACAGAAATGGAATCTACATTTTGTGTCTGACTCCTTCAACTCAGCGTAATGTTTTCAAGGTGCATCCATGTGATAGCTCGTATCAGTTATTCATGCCTGTCTATTGCCGAGTGGCATTCCTTATATGGGTAGACTCTATTTTGTTTATTCATCCATAAGGTGCTGGACGTTTCTACTTTGGGGCTATTATGAATAATGCTCTTATAAACATTTGCGTGCAAATTTTTGGGTGGGCATATGTTTTCAGTTCTCGTGTGCATACCTAGGAGTGGAATTACTAGGTCATTTGCTTACTCTGTGTTTAACTTTTTGAGCAACTGCCAAACTGTGTTCCAAAGCAGCTGTGCTATTTTACGTTCCCATCAGGAATGGATGAGGGTTCCAATTCCTCCATGTCCTTGCCAACACTTCTTATTGTCTATCTTTTTGTTACAGCCATCCTCGTGTGCGTGAAGTACCTTCTCGCTGTGGTTTTGGTTTGCATTTCCGTGATGGCTATTGATGTTGAGCATCTTTCATATGCATATTCGTTATCTGTGTATCTTTTTTGGAGAAATGCCCATTCAAGCCTTTTGCCCATTTTAATTGGATTATCTGTCTATTATTGAGCCGTAAGAGTTGTAGAGAATAAATTCTTGAAAAATAAAACATTGTGAGGGAATGGCTTTACCAGATGTAGCAGCACAGTGGCATTCTATAAAGCTAGGGTAAGTAAAGTAGTAAAGTCAGCCCTCAGCACTCAGGCTCCTGTCGCCTACTCCCTGAGATATTTGTAACCCAAGCGAGACTCCAAGGCTTGCGAGTCACCGCCACACGTGCAGAGCAGCAATCCCAGCTGAGGTGGGCCCAGGCCTCACTCTTCCTTTCTGTTTCACCTCTCCCACTATAAACACATGTTCTTTTCACCGTTCACTTAGTGCCACATTTTCTGCAGTTTCGTCGGAGATTTTACTGTTTAAAATGGCCCTGAGGCTGTGGGGGAGTAGAGGAGCAGGGGAACTCTCTGTACTTTCTGCTCAATTTTGCTGTGAACCTAAAACGGCTCTAAAAAATAGTTTGTAAAGATAATAAAAAAATGTCCCCTGAGCCAAGTGCTAAAGTACTTTCTAGTGTCCCTAAGTACAGACTGTGATGTGCCTTCCAAAGAAAATACATGTGTTAGATCAACTTTGTTCAGGCAAGAGTTATAGTGCTGTTGACTGAGTTCAATGTTAATGAATCAACATTGTAAAATGAGGTTTCTTTAAACAGAAACATACAGAAAACAAGGTCTGTATTGATCAGCTGATAATGTGGCCAGAGGCTTCAGGAACCTGCCTCTATTTCCCCTGGGGGTGTGGGTCAGTATTCACCAGTTCAGTGTTTGCAGGGATTTTAGAGAACATAACTACAGCACACAATGAGAACCGACTGTATAATCCCATAAAGGAACAGACAAAAAACTTAATAAAACAGAATAAAGAATGTGGCAAGAGATCCAGAATATTTAATTCATGATAAAGGTCAATCTTAATTCACTGACGATAGAAGGGATTCAGTAAGTTATATTGGGACAAGCGGCTACCTATTTGGAAGAAAATAAAGTTTAATCCTTACCCTTCACTATACACTGAAATAAATTCTATATAAACTAAACATATAAATAGAGAAAACAAAATTTTAAAAATAATTAGAGGAAAATATGAGATGATTTTTATAATTTGGGGAGCCAAAAAGGCGTCTTATGCAAGGCATAAGTCAAAATGCAAGATGCCAGATTTAATCAGTATTTGCATATAAGAAATATAAGAGGTTAAAAACTAATATCTTTAATACATAATTAACTCCTATTTGATAAAAAAAAAAAAGTTTAAATGAGCAAAGAATAGGAACACATAATCCACAGAAAAATAAATATAAATGACCTATAAAACA